AGGTGGTAGTCTAGCTGAGGATCATCGCCGCTCGGCCCCCTGTAGAACCCCCAAAGGCCGTTCTGTTCAACATGCCTATGCATGTCCAACTCTGTCATTCGCCCTTCCGCTTCGCGGCGCACGTCATCGTCGTCCGCCGTGAACAGGGCTTCTGCGAGTTGGGTTTCTAGCGTCTGGGATCTCCTGCAGTCCGTGAAATCGGCCACAACATCGAGGTCCGTTTTCGACACGGTGCATGTGGGGCATACACCAAACTTCACATTCGCCAGCGCACATCGTTCTGGATAGTCTTGTACATAGTTGAGGAGGAAAGGGTGGACAGTCACGTCCCCGAATCGCGTCGATGGTATCGTGATGCCGTCGTGTGACGCCTCCTTCGCAGCTTGCAAGACCATCGAAAGGGCCTTGTGGAAGATGACGGCCTTTCGCTTCCTAAATGTGCTGGACTGAAGACCCCATCCTTTGTTACGGGGTCGATGATGAAGCACGGGGAGATAGGCCAGCAGAGTGGCTTCCTACGCGTGGTCGGCTAGCGACATCATAAGAGGGTATGCGGTCTGTTTCTGACGACCGTCTGTGTGTGTCTTGTCGGAGTAGAGTGAGAGAGGGATCACATATCGTGGATTTCCATTCCCGTCGACACCTTTGTACGCTCGAATGGTTGACTGTGTGTGATAGCTTAGCGCCCCACTGCGCGGACCGGACATACTATGGTCGTCCGACGGCGGGGACACTTCAAGGGAATGAACCGTCTCGCATTTGCAACGCGACCTGCATTATCGACAAGAATGCAGTTCGCCAATCGCGGTGCCACAAGATGGCGTGCGCTCCTTCAGGCCAGTCGTCACTACGCGGGTCCGACTCCTTCCACCCGGCGGCTTCTGCGAGACTGCCCGCCCATGCGAAGCACTCTCGACTGTTGCAGTACGCAATGTCCGCCGCGCTGAATCTCGGGTCTTTGAGAAGTGACAAGAGAGCATCAACGTCGCAATGCGACATACCGACGCCGCCACGTGCGGACAAAATAAGCGCTGCTAGCCTGCGCGAGCTGTCAAAAGTCTCGACGGGTTGCGCTTCCGGCTCTGCGTTGTCACCCGCTGCCCCGTTCGCGTTGTCCTCTGCCCCCTCATCGTCGCTGTCATCAGCTGCGAGATTCGCTGCGCCCATGTCGGATGGCCCCGGGTCGTGGGCAGCATTGTTTTCCTGCCTTTGCGCCCCCTCTTCCACCACGGCCGGGCATGCCCTCGCACGATGCGAGTTTAAAGTCCGTAAGGACATGAAAGGTCTGCCGCAGTCGCACACCAGTGGACCGCTATCCATTTCCTGTGCACGCAGTGCATTCAAAACAAAAGACAGCAAAGCAGACAGTGCTTCGTTAGCATTTTCCACATATGGTCGGGCCATGTGCACTACGTAATGCTGACCATGTTTTCTTATGCAGTGTGAGTCCTGCACGTTGTGGAAAAAACGTCTAAGCATGTTTTTTCCACCTATTCATCGTGATCAGTGAGATTGCGCACACGAGGCAAGCTCTGACTCACTTTCCCGGATGTGTACACTACATTGAAGATAGAGACTTGAGATCGGGCGAGCAGAAAAAAAAAAA